CTAAAAGTTTTATAGTACTCATAATTCTACATTTTCTTTCAGTGATTAAAATAATTTAAACAACTTGCTTTCACTTTCATTGGATAAAAATTCTTAGTAAAACCTGATGACTTGGCAAAGATTAAAAACTGTTCACAACCAGGTATCGTGGTACAAAGCTGTAAGTCTAGTTCTCTGGCAGGCTGAAGCAAAGAGGATTACAAGTTTGAGAAACTGAACTAGACCCTGGCTCAGAATTTAAGCAAAGAAACAAACAGGGTTGGTGATGCAGCTCAGTGCAAAAGGTTCAATCTCCAGTATCACCACAACCACCCCACAAAAAAAGAAACGAAACTGCTCACAATCCAGCTGTTTTTCTGAAACACTGACATTTTGGAACTGCATAGCTGGTCTCAAAAAGGATAAACAAACTCAAAATGAAAGGAAGAGTGTTTCATTAAAATTCAGAAGCCTATTAAAATACCCCCAAAGGTGCATTACCAAACCAGGGTTGGGATAAGGGTGGGCTTTGCAGGGAGAAGAGCACTGCAATGCCAGAGAATATTTCCAGTTTATTAAACTTCTTGGTTAAAAATCACTACCATGTATTCCAGTGGTCATTTGCTGGGGTTTCCAAGTTCGCTCCATTATAGTAAGCCAAGATGAATAATCCTGATGTGCAATTTATAGTCATAACTCTAAAATGATCCCTAAAAGCACTTTTCAGATTTTACTTTTACTACAACTATAACTTCTTAAATGATTAAGTTGTCTCTCCCTCCTCTGTCAGGGGAAGTAAAGCAAGATCAAGACAGGATATTTTGCATTGTTTTGCCTTTAAAACTTAATTGCTGTTGAATTTATTGGAATTCTTAAATACCCCACAAAAGACAAATGAACAGAGTTCATTTCTGGATACAAAGATAACCTCTAATTAGGCATTACCTGATGGCAGCATATTTATTTGAATTAAAACTGCTACAGGAAATAGATACTAAACTCCACATTAACACCTAAATTAGCAAGGGCAAATACAGTAGTGTATTTAGGAAAAATCATTAATCATGGGAACTTGGCTAAGAACATCATGTTTGAAAGCTCAGAGTTGGACTTTTAACTACAGTAT